ATTTGCATAAGGATAATGCTGATTAGCAATGGGAAGGGTATCGGTCGTATGCTAATTCCCATGTTTCTCTTTTATTAGTGTAGATGGGAAAGAAAAGCCCAGTGTTCTAAAGTGATTTTGTAAATGGTTATTCTTTCCCAGCACAGAGCCTGGGTTTCCAATGTCATTCCCATTTGGATTCAATCCCACTACTTAACATAGCAGACAGAGAATTATTGTAAGACTTGCAATGAAATAGTAGTGCCAGGCCTTTTAAAATGTAAACTTTGTTCCCTGGGGAAATAAGTTGCTAGTTAAGAGAAAAAAAAAATACCTTTCATCACATGATATGAATCTTTCAAAAGAGATCATTTGAAGGCACCTCAAATGATTGTCATATGCTAAATTGATTTAAATCTACTCTAATACAATTAGCTAAAATAGTAAAATTTACATAATTTACTTTTGTCTCCTTGTTTTAAATTATTTGTCTCAGCTATTTCCTTAAAAATTCTTTTCTTTCTTTAAGCCTCTACTATGTTAGATTATCAAGCTAAAGTAGAATGACTCCAAAAATTCAGAGTAAATGGTGAATGGGAAGGAGTTTAATTGTAATTTTAATACATATTTTATAATTTATAAACATACAGATACTTCTTGAAAGCAAACCTTTAAATAGTAAGTTCATAAAAACTAAATATTAAAGTAATAGATGGGACCCAGCTTGAACTTGACTGAAGTAACAAAACATAAAATCTGTGGCAGTATCTTTTATTAAAAAAAAAACAAGTTAAAATATTTGATGCCCTTTAGATGCAAAATATGGTTGGATTACAAAGCATGTTACGGTAAACTCACTAACAAGGAAAACATATTTAAATACTAGTGGCCTGGTGCACAAAATTTGTGCACGGTGTGGGGGGGTATTCCCTCAGCCCAGCCTGCACCCTTTCCAATCAGGGACATCCTTCTCGCAATCTGGGATCACTGGCTCCTAACCGCTCACCTGACCACCTGCCTGATCTCTCCTAACTGCCTCTGCCTGCCTGCCTGATCACCCCTAACTTCCCTCCCCTGCCAGCCTGATTGCCCCCAACTGCCCTCCCCTGCAGGCCTGATCTCACCCCCAGCTGACCTCCCCTGCAGGCCTGACCTCTCCTCCAACTGCCCTTCCCTGCAGGCCTGATCTCGTCCACAACTGTCCTCCCCTGAAGGCCTGATCTCACCCCCAACTGTCCTCCCCTGCTGGCCTGATCACCCCTAACTGCCACTGCCTCAGCCCCTACCACCATGGCTTTGTCCGGAAGGAAGTCGGATGTCCAGAAGATGGCTGGTCCACCCAGTCTAATTAGTATATTACCCTTTTATTAGTATAGATAGATTATATAGGATAGGATTGCTTAAATGGGGGGGGGGGCGCCTTTTTCAGCAGGAGGAGATGCTCTTGGCAGACAAAAATACATAATCCCTATATCTGGACTGGTAGCCAGCCATATGCACTATACTGCCAAACTGGTCATTAAAAAATTGAACCACTTTCTTACACCTGACACCAAACAGCTGTTGCCCTTAAAACCCCTCCTGTGCCCCCACCTTAGGTTCTGCCTTCGTAGTTCATCTAGATTAGGTTCTGATTGGTCAGTTTTTATGCCAGTCAGCATTAAAAGCTCTGCCTCCTAGGCAGCCATTGGCTCCTTGCACTTCACCCAGATTTGGTTCTGATTGGTCAGTTTCTATGCCAGTTAGCTTCTCGGGGCCTATCTGGGCCTGATCATGGAGGCGGGGCTGATCAGCAGCCACCCCAGGCTGCTGGTGAGCCGGCTGAACTGCTGACCTCTCTGAGAAAGAGAGAGTCAAGAGCTGTTCAGAAGCTGCCACCCAGGCTGCAGATCAGACCCTGCTTCTTTCTCTGGGTCTTGCCAGCAGCCGGGGCAGCTGCTGATCAGCCCCGGCTCTCTCTCCAAGGGGTCAGCAGTTCAGCCCGCAGGCCAGTCCCCGCCCACCTGAGCCTGCTGCACGTGCAACCTGGCTTCGGTGGTCCCTTCAGTCGTTTTGGACGTTATGAACCCTGACTCTTGATATATGTATAGATAGATGATACCTAGTATTACTTTTATTTTTAATCTTCCCCTGATATTTTAAAAAATAATGTTTAAAATATATGTTTTTTATTGATTTCAGAGAGGAAGAGAGAGGGAAAGAGAGATACTGGTAGAAACATCAATGATGAGAGAGAACCATACTGGAGACTGAGCTGTCAACACGGACAGGTGCCCTTGACAGGAATTGAACCCAGGACCCTTCAGTCTGCAAGCTGATGCTCTACCCACTGAGCAAAACCGGCTAGGGCGGATATGGATTTTTTAATTGATTTTTTAAAAAGAGAATTAGAGTGAGAGAGAAACATCAATTGCTTGCCTCCCATAGGCACCTTCACTGGGAATGGAAGACACAATCTAGGTATGTGCCCTGACTAGGAATTGAACCCCTAATCTTTTGGTGTACCTGAGGATGCTCCAACCAACACAGCCACCCTGCCAGGGCCCTAGTATTGCTGTTAATTTTAGAGTCTGTGAGGAGAACATCTGATACCTATTTTGTCAATGATTTCCGTGAACCAGAGCTATAAAAGCACAAAACTTTAGAGCTGAAGGAATTTAGTTACTTTGGTAATTACTATCTAGTTGAATAAGATGTATGAAATATTGGCTCCAAAGCAAAATCTTGGAGATAGCCTTAGTTGTAAAGGGTTCGTAAGATTTCCTGGATCAGCCTCTTGTTTCTTTGCTTCAGATATTCTTTTTCTAAACCCATTATTAGTACTTATCCATTTCGCATAATCTTCTAATCACTAGATTAAGATTTTGCTCATCACCGAAGCTGGTCAAAGTGAGCTTAAAAAGACCTTTCTGTTGAGCTCATATGCATACACCTTAAACCAATTTCCAATTTGATTTAACCTATAAGGACATGACCTTCCAGGGTCTTGCTATTACATTTCTGTAAATAGCACACGGTTCTTTTACCAAGGACTCTGGTTACCTAGTGCTGCAGTGCAAATCGTCTCTCCAAAACCATTATAGCTTGGAACCGGTAAAAACGCAAAATTCTCTGAAACCAGATACTGTGTCTTTTTTTTTTCTTTGTGGAGAAATTGCAATCCTAGTTACAGCCAGTAAAGCTTTCTAACCCGGTCCTTCCTCTAGAGGGAGACACAGTCCAGCTTTTTACCAATTGCCGCCCTTCCATTTTTTACTGTCTGTCTTTTCCTGCAGGACCGCAGTTTGCTCTCAGCAGCAGCTGCGTCTGCTAACAGAACTGGCGGTTGGGAGGCAGACGGAGGGAGGCAGCATCGTTTGGTCTTGCCACCCCATTTTACTGCTTCACTCAACCTGGAGTGTTGGGACCTATTCTCTCTCTGCGTTCTCTCCAACCAGGCTGGGTGGAGTAAGGGGTGTGGGTGGACAGGGGTTTCTGCCCTTTTCGGTGACTTTAAAAAAGGTACCACCGGTGTCTCTGGGCTGTATAGCGCTTAGGAGAGGGGGATTTGATTACTAAACCGTTTACTTTTTTTTCCTTCGGTAATTTGGATTTGTTTCCTCGGCCCCCTCCCCCGCCTCCCTCTCTCCCCCTCCCGCCTTTAGCGAAGTGACACAATTGCTCGCTCCAGTTGGATGTTGGAACTTACACCTTCCCGGAGGTGACGGTGCCAGGCACTGGGGAGAGGGGGACAGAGGCGACTTCCCTTCCTTCCAGCCCAGGATGCCTAGAGGGGCAGCGGTTGGGCTGCGTGGGGCTCTGCCCGCAGCACTTCTAGGAGGGATTGAGGGGCTGCAGCTGGCCAGGCGTGGCTGCTAATTGGACTCACGCTAAGTCTCCGAGAGCGTCAGCTGGGACCTATCTGCTAAAAGCGGGAGCACGGGCACCTGCACCGAGGAACCCGTGCGGCTTGCGGGCAGACGACGGCCGGCCGAGCTCAGAGCCTCTCCTCCTTCCTGCCCAGAACCTCCCCAGCAACTCCTCCTGGACCTGCGAGGGCCGGAGAACAGAAGTGCGTGGCAGAGGCTGCTTTCCTGAAGGTGAACCGTTCCGTCCAATTGCCTTTTCCCGGAGAGCAAAAGGGAGGGCGGGAGAAGGAACGGAGTCCTGTGTGAGTGTGTGTGAGAGGGAGAGACGACGTGAGGCGAGAGGAAAAGTCTGTACTCGGCGTTAAAAGCAAACAAATCAGAGATGGAATAAGGGCGGTAATTGCTGCAAGACCGCCTTGATTCTCGCAGCGGGGGGAGCTGAGCGCACCGCGCGTATCCGGCGAGGACGGCGGGCGACCGCGGGCGCTGGCGAGGGCTGCGGGACTTCGACTTGTCCTCGGGAAACACATTTTTTTTTTCTTTTTTGATTACTTTGACACCGTGGCATAGAAGGGAGGAAAAGAGGCGAGGCTCGCTCGCTCCACCTTCCATCCGCTTTAAGGGGATTCCGGTGTAAATGTCAGATTCCTGAGCCTCTGTGCCATCGGAGGAGGAAACACACACGCGCGCACACGCACGCTCCGGACCTCACTCCCTAGCCCTCCACGAGCACACCCCACCGGACCCCGGTTCCCTATGCCCCTGAACGGGGACGGCGGATTGGCATCTTGGAAGCGATGCGAGAGCGATAAGGCTGGCGCGGGCCCGCGGAAGCTGCAGGAGCATCGCTAGGTGTTGCCGCCACCAGGAAGCCGGGCTGCAGGTAGGTGCGAGCCGTGCCCCCGCGGGCTCGGGGGACTCGGGCGGCCGCTGGAGGACCCGGGCCCGGAAGCCCTCCCCTCCCCGGGGCCCGGATCTGTTAGGGGGCTCGTCGGGGCAGGCGGGAGGGGAGAGCGGATGCTGGTCGGGCGGCCAGCGTCTTCCTCGCCGGCTGTCGGGGTAGGGGTGCGGGTAGAGGGACACCGAGAGGGGAGCCGAGCGCACGAACGACGTTCCGAGCGCGGTGCCCTCCCTCCTTTTCTGCTCCATTTCTCCTAACCCCGCGAGCGACCCGGCCGAGGGTGAAAGCGAGTTTTAACCGGATCCCCCAGCCAGGTCCAGCCGGGTTGGTAATCATTTCGGACTCCTCACCAGGGGTTGGGGGTCGCGTTCGAGGCAGGACCGTTGAGGTGTGCCAGGGCGCCCCTCTGACAGCCCTACTTTCTGTCCACTTCTGATTAGCTGATTCTCGGGCCTGCCTGCAGACGGTGGGCGTTTCAAGGAGGCTCGTTTCAATGAGACTTCCCCACTTCTAACTATCTTCATAAAGAATCGTCCTGATAAGTTCCTCGGCCCCATCTATGTAAAGGGTTATTTCAATTTGGGAACGGACGCTTTATTCCCGAGTGAAACAAAGCTTTCATAGAGGATATCAGAAGAGAGCTCCGGGAAAAGCATCATTAGACGAACTGCGTTCAAAAACAACAACAAAACCCAAACAAACAGCTTCGAGAAGCGAATGGGTTTTCATTTCTTTCCCAATGGAAGCCTCCCAGATCTTACTAACAGGGCACGGTGTTTCTGCCCCATTGCTCTGCTGTCCCTTCGCCCCTTCTGTCCCAGAAGGCCGGGTTCTTATCCGGAGGTGTTTTCTTTAGGCTATTGGTCCTCCCTTGCCAGTGGGGAACGTGTTGTTTCCAGAAACTGCCTTTGCAAAGGAAAGTTTGAGATTCGCCGCCCGATTTCTCCGAGGACTGCAGGCTGAGCTGTCTAGTCTCCACTTGAAAAGGAGTCACTGTGGGCGCTTGCAGAGCTGCCGCCTCCCCACCCCCAGTGGACGCGGCGCTCTCCCCTTCGGCATTCCTCTTCCTGACCGTGTTAAACAATTGCCTGAAGCGCTTGGAATCAGATGTGTAGTTACTACAGTGGCTGGCTAGCCTCCCTCTCTCCAACCTGGTGCTGAAGAGAGTTTGGCTTGTGGCAATGAGACAGAAAAAATACCTTCTGTCTGTGTTAAATCCCCTCTTGCATTTTGTTGTTTTTGGGAAAAAAACAAAACAAAACAGAAAAAACCCACCCAAAACAAACCTGTATGCAACCTTTACTCTGAAAAGTCCCCTCAGAGCAGTCAGTATATGAGTCCTTCTCTCAGGACAGGATGAATTTCAATGACTATTGACTGAATGATAATTATCTGGTTCCTGTCTTCCCAACTAGATTGTTTGAGACATTAATGTTCAGACTGTTATCAATTAACACATTAAAACTGCTCTATTAAGCAATGTAAGTTAAGACAGTTGAGTAATTAATTTCTGTGTAAAGTGCTAAATGGCAATAACTAGCAAAGGAGATTGAAAACACTTTTAAAGCCTTTAAAAACCAGAGCATAAGATGATAGGTATTCACTCCAGCCTTCCTATGTTTCTAGGTGTACTCTCAGACTGGTGAATCTTTTACAGTTTCAAATTTGGCACCTAAAGAACCCTAAGAATGATCATACACATGTAATTTAATTTTTTCTTTTCCTACTTTACTCTGTCTCATCCTGGGTCAATTGTTTGCACATTGACCTCTTTAGAGTCCTATTTTTTAAAGCTACCAATAGCCATTGAAAGGCCATCAGTAACTACACTAAAGCGCATTTTATTTTGGTTTTCTGAATTTTCAATAAAAATGGGATTGTATTATTTATAGACAGTATGCTATGAGAACAGTGTCACACCAACTGAATGCTCAGACAGAGTGACTCTTTAAAGAGGCAGAGCACAGTTTAGTGTTTTGCTTTCTATTAGGCATTTCTTGAAATTGAAAATCTTGATTCTTTTGCACACCTTTAATAAATTTTGTAGTTTAGGATGCATAAACTTACGTATTAACATAGAGTGATATGATATATGTCTCTTAAAGAAGAACCAAAACCTTGACATTAATGCCACAAGTTGTGCTAAAGGGGAATTGAAGTTTTCGAGTTTGTGATTTTGAATCTGAAAAAATGTTAGCTACTTTAACCATGACAAATTGCAGAATGAAGATTTATTGAGATGCCCATGGATCTATGTCAAAAATGATACATATTGCTTAGAGACTACATTATAGTATTTACTAACCACCAAGTTATAAAATGTGAGGACACAGCTATAAAAAGGCCTGTTTTTAAATGTGGTTACGTTTCCTTTTTAAAAATGTATAAAGTAATGAAATTTAGGGGTAATACAAGATTTTATAAACTTTATTTTGTGTATTATCAGAAAATCTTAGTGATCCTGGATCTAGTATTTTAACAAATGACCCTTTTACAATGTGTTTTTGAACATTGAAATATTGAGAGTGTATTTTAGGGTTGATTTATCATTAATTACAGGTTATGGATTACCCTGCATGGGGAGGGTAAAATGTGCCTTTCCAGCATTTTCCAGGATTTCTTATCACGGGCCCTAATAGAAGGTATTCTCAGATTCTGCCTAAGTTCAGCTGTGGCTGCAAACTGATGAACATTTGCCTCTCTAATGCATGTGTTAAACTAGCAATGCTCCAAGTGTCATCAGTTATTTCTAATATATTTGAGAAGATGAAACAACCAGAGTGCAAACAGTTCAGTGCCCATGCTTTCACTTCTCCAGTATTTTATTAGGGATGCCTCATTAAGTCGCATTATTCTGCAGCTGTTTTGTTCATTAAAGATTCAAGTAAAAATAAGGAACTTTACTGTGCAATGCAGTTTAGTTTCCTGGGTGAAAAACCATACGTTGAGGTAAAATAAGCATCTAACATAGTCCCCTTTGATCTATGCCTGACATTTACAATTGCAATTCATCAACCTGTTATTAGTAGGGTTCCCTCAAAACACAGAGAAGAAACACATTAGCACAGATGCTGCTAGATATGAAGGCCACACTAGCTAGATCAACCTCATATCTGGTCCACATACTTGCACAATATTTCACATGATGCATCTTACTTAGGAAGCATTGATTTTTTTTTAATGCCATGTAATATGATGAATTTGCCATTTTGTTCAGAAATTCTTTGGTTAACTTTATTTTGAACACTGTATTTGAAGCATATTGAACTATACCACTGGAAGAGGAGGAATAATTTCACAATGAGTCTTTTTAGAGAACAGTTTTACTTTAGGTTTGGAGCATAGGCTGAAATAGGGGAGATGGAGAGAAGGGCATGACAACCAGAGACCTAGAAGTTAGTTTTTGTTTTTTAGTTGTCATTCACCACTGATTTATTGGGTAATTTTTAGAAAGTCTGATTCTATTCATTTGGCACAGTGATTTAGTGTCCTTGTCAATGAAATATAACTAACAATTCTTGTCTTCCACTTATTCTTAACAGAAATTTTTAGAGGAATGGTTAGACTTATTGGAACGTGAAGAAAAGTACTATTTAAATACATTTCTCTGCAATATCTATCTAATCTCTATATCTATACATATAGATGCACATGCATATATGTATACAAATGCTTTTAATGGCACCTATGGAAAATGCTGGTTTTTGTATTGAAGGGGGTGAGAACAACTATAAAAAATGTGTACATTGTTAGGTACATAGTTTTTCACTACTTTGCATGATTTGACCTACAGTACAGCTGTATCCATGGTTTAACAAGGTCATTTGTAATTGAGTTTTACTGTTAGTGCCACTGTTACATGCAGTATATTTTTCCTCTTTAGTTTTTTTTTTAAGGTATTTTTGTCCTTGCTCTGTTCAGGCCTAACTGCTTACTACATTTTTATTTGTTAGGCTACAAATGCAAAAATTAATCAATTTTGTCCTCTATGTAGGGACGCTTTGGGATGTGTTTATTGACACCATGACTGGGAATTTCAACATATTTTAAACACTGAATATATCTGTATGCTGCTTTATTAAATATGCACCTCCGCAGTCCAAACATAAACCTCGCATTACGTTAGAGCATACTATTCTGGTTTACAAGTGTTACCTACGCATTTTCCAGCAACATATTGATATTATAGGCCAAATTTCTATTAGATTTCCATAACCCACCCACTTCTGATGTATATACCACATGTATATGTTGGATTTCATCCTCTGCTATAGTGATAGGCCATTTAGTCCCTGGAATCAGTGAAAATCTGGCCTTTTTTAGGCAATTGATTATTATGACCATTGGGAAATACAAGACTTTCAGGTTACTTGGGACTCAGATGAAAAGTGAATATACTAGTATTCACTATAAGGAGAACATTTCATTTTGTTCACAGTGATCCAGATGGGGTATGAGAGATGACTAAGGAATCAGAGCGTATAGTACGCTTTTATTAGATAAGATCCTTTTAGTCACTTCCTTTAGTCTCCTGAATTACTCCATAGTAGCTGTAATTGTTTTATGATTTCATCTGAATGGCCAGTTAGTGACGGTACGTCTGTCTCCCTTTCCCTAGCAATAGCACAAACATAGTCATTCAATTAAATTTATCGTTATTTTTGAAACTCTTTACAGAGAGACTGGATATTGTGATAATGTTGAATTCTTAGCAATTATGCTGGTAGGCTGGATTTAGAACTTTGACAAAATGGGGACAAGTAGCCCCTTTGCTCTGTAAAGCTAATGCTTCACAGAAAGCCCGGAGAGTGCAAAGTAGCTTTTGATGAATGCAAGGTTTGTTTTACTCAATATTTTTTTATGGTTTTTTTCTGCTGTGAAGTAGTCACTGTATAATTGCATGCATGTGAATGGGCAACTGTGTTGACCTTTAAAGGTCATACAAAGATTCTAAACCTTTCAATTTCCAGTGATAATTGCCT